GGTGCGATGAATTCGCAAATAAGAAGGTGATTTTCAATTTTTTCAATAAAACGCGTTCTTTTTTTTTATTTTTTTCTTTTTTGAAGAAATGCGATTGAGCAAATGTAATCGTATATACAGTAGGTAAATCCAGCAAACATCATGTGAAATTAATGAAAGCCCTTCCAATATGGAAGAGAGGCTTATTAAATGGATGATAATAAATGTTCAACTTTTTTTTTTATACATTCATAAATGTCAAATATATAACAGAATCTTTTTGTAGAAATGAACATAGCTTATTGAAAATGATTTTGCTGGATCTCTTATAACACAATTGAAGAGAAGATATTTAACTCTTCTATAGCAATTTAATTAATTTAATGCAATCATTACTGCTCATTAAACTTTGAAGTATTATCTATATGACTAATTTATCCCATCAATTAAACTTAGTTAAATTCGATTTTTTATTACTTTAGGAGACTTTTGGAAGGGCTGTAAAGTAGGATTCTTATTAGTCAATTAGTTAAGGAAATATATAACAATTTTGAAAGAATTGCTTAACAACTTTATACTTTATTTAGTCAAATAGCTAAGCTTCAACGAAAATCCAAACAGGATATTCAAATGTAAGGTGGATAGACCCATTAAGTATTTTGTCCTCATACTTCATTTCTTAATACTAGCAATAAAGCCAACTAAATCTTGCCAAGCATTTTATTTCAAATATCGATTGATAGGGTGAAAAAGGCTTTGATTTATTAATTTATGCTTTACATTTTGAATCGCAAATTTCCTTTTTACTTTAATCAAGGATATATGCTCAAATATCTTAGATAAAAAAATACCTACTTAAAACCTTACTAAAAGGAGGAAAATATGAAAAACTTGAGTATGCATTCAATTTTGAAATGAGCACTAATAAAATGGAAGCCAGAATGCCTAGTGTGATATGAAACAGATAAAGTTTACATATTCGTCACTTAAGTAATATATAAATAATTAAACAAATTTCTTATTTACTATTTTATAATGGTACATCTCTCTGCCTAATCTTACCTAATTCATTATAATATCAATATTTTTGTTCTAATTTAAATTTGCTTAGTTAATTATATACAACTTTAAGAAGATTTATTTGGGTGAAAAATAAAAGTTTTTTCAACTTTGAATAACAACTATTCAAAGATTTTCATCAACCTTCTCTATATTTGCCTTTGCTATTATAAAGTCATTAAATGAGGATTTATAAATCTAAATAAATAACATCATAAAGGGTGAAGGATACACGATTTCAACTGTCAACTGGACAAAAATAAATATCTATCCTAATAAGATGCTAAAATTGATTATCATTACAGTGTTAAGTGAAGATATTAGAATCATCCAAGAAGATTTGAAAAAGATGAATTAATACATTAAGGAATATTAAGACAAGAGCGGAGTAGTGTATTGAAGACAATATTTTGACAAGGGCTTGATAAATTTCTGGAGTAGTTTGTATGAGGAAGTTTTTTACGAATTTATCTGAATTTAATATTTGACTTTTTTAAGACTATTTCTTGTAATTAATTTTAATAGTAGAGATAAGAAATTTTAAAACTCAAAAGAGAAGGAATATTTAATGCTATGAAAAACAGACTGGTTAAGGAATGTAAAATTGTAGAGATGTCATAAGCACAGGTAAATATTTTTGAAGAGAACTTGAAGATATTATTAACTAGAAATATTTTGAAGGTACTAAACTTAATTGATTGCTCAAAGTTGCTTATTGTTATGATCAAATGAATAAATACAGTGAGTTGTAGAATTAATATTAGTTACATCTTGAGTGACGAAATACTTGTCTATAGGAGTTGAGTAGTATTCTTTGGAAGCAGAATGCTGGAGGTGTGGTGTAAATCAACTTTATCATTTAAAATACGCTCAATATTTATAAATAGAAAGTATAAATTTGAGCAAAAATTAAATTGATTTATTTAGAAATTGAAAAAAAAATGCAAGTGAACTTTGGCATCAATGTTTA